CCCTAATACCAAAACCAGATAAAGACAACTCAATGAATGAGAATTACAGGCCAATATCCCTGATGAACATAGATGCCAAAATCCTCAACATAATTCTAGCAAATCAGCTCCAGCAGAGCATCACAAAGATCATACACCATGACCAAGTAGGATTTATTCCAGGAATGCAAGGATGGTACAATATCCGCAAATCAATAAACGTGATACATCACATAAACAAGTTGAAAGATAAAAATCATATAGTCATATCAATTGATGCAGAAAAATGCATTCGATAAAATCCAACACCCTTTCCTGATAAAAACTCTCAACAAGGTGGGAGTACAAGGATCATACCTCAATATAATAAAAGCAATGTATGATAAACCCACAGCCAACATCATATACAATGGGCAAAAACTAAAACCATTCCCTCTACGAACAGGAACAAGACAGGGATGCCCACTCTCGCCACTCCTGTTTGACATAGTACTGGAAGTACTAGCCATTGCAATTAGACAAGAGGAGGAAATAAAAGGAATCCAAATTGAAAAAGAAGAAGTAAAGCTATCCTTATTTGCAGATGACATGGTATTGTATATAAAAAACCCAAAAGACTCCATTAAAAAACTAATTGGCTTAATAAATGAATTTGGCAATTTAGCAGGATACAAAATTAACGCCAAGAAATCTATGGCATTTCTATACACCAACAGCGAATTTATAGAAACAGAGACTAAAAAAGCAATTCCATTTACCATCGCACCAAAAAAATTAAGATACCTAGGAATAAATTTAACTAAGGAAGTAAAGGACCTATATGCGGAAAACTACACAACACTGAAAAAAGAGATAGAGGAAGATGTAAACAGATGGAAGAACATACCATGTTCATGGGTTGGTAGAATCAACATCATCAAAATGTCCATACTTCGTAAAGCAATCTATAGGTTCAATGCACTCCCCATTAAAATACCAACGGCATATTTCACTGACCTAGAAAGAACTCTCCAAAAGTTCATTTGGAACAATAAAAGACCCCGAATAGCCACAGCAATCCTGAGAAAGAAGAGTAAAGTAGGAGGGATCTCAATACCAGACTTCAAACTGTATTACAAAGCCACTGTTCTCAAAACAGCCTGGTACTGGCACAAAAACAGATATATAGATCAATGGAACAGAATCAAGAACCCAGATATCAACCCAAATCAATATGCTCAATTAATATTTGACAAAGGAGGCACGAATATACAATGGAGTTAAGACAGTCTCTTCAATAAATTGTGTTGGGAAAATTGGACAGATACATGCAGAAGAATGAAACTAGATCACCAACTTACACCATACACAAAAATAAACTCAAAATAGATACAGGACTTAAACATCAGACGGGAAACCATAAAAATACTAGAAGCATCCACGGGCAGTAAAATCTCAGACGTATGCCAAAAGAACTTCTTCACTGATATTGCCCCTAGGGCAATGGAAGCTAAAGAAAAAATAAACAAATGGGACTACATCAAAATAAAAAGCTTTTTTACAGCAAAAGGAACCATCAACAAAACAACAAGAAAGCCCACGGTATGGGAGAACATATTTGCAAATGTTACCACTGGTAAAGGTTTAATCTCCAACATCTACAAACAGCTTATACAACTAAATTAAAGGAAGTTGAATGATCCAATTAAAAAATGAACAATGGACCTAAATAGAATATTTCCAAAAGAAGATTGAAGGAAGGCCAAAAGGCACATGAAAACATGCTCAAAGTCACTAATATCCGAGAGATGCAAATCAAAACAACAATGAGGTACCATCTCACACCTGTCAGAATGGCCAACATCAACAAATCAACAAACGACAAGTGTTGGCGAGGTTGTGGAGAAAAAGGAACCCTCGTGCACTGCTGGTGGGAATGTAAACCGTGGAGAACAGTGTGGAGTTTTCTCAAAAAACTGAAAATGGAACCCCCATTTGACCCAGTAATCCCACTCCTAGGAATATATCCCAAGAAACTAGAAACACCAATCAGAAAGGATATATGCACCCCTAGGTTCATAGCAGCACAATCTACAATAGCTAGAATCTGGAAACCGCCTAGGTGCCCGTCAGCAGATGATTGGATCCAAAAACCATGGTACATCTACACAATGGAATATTATGCTGCCATAAAAAAGAAGGGATTCTCATCATTTGCAGCAACCTGGATGGAATTGGAGAACATCATGCTGAGTTAAATAAGCCAGTCAATGAAGGAAAAATACCACATGACCTCACTCATTTGTGGATAATAAAGAACATTATAAACTGATGAACCAAAAGATAGATATAGAGACAGTATACCAACAAGCAGACTGTCAAATTACAGTGGGGAGGGGAGGAAGATCTGGGGGAGATAATAGATCAACCGAAGAACTTTTATACATGCATATAAGTACAACCAATGGACATAAAACTCTGGGGAGGGAGGGGATGTGTGGGAGGGAGGGAGGTGGGAAAAAAAATCAATAAAATATAATATATTTAAAAAAAATAACTGCACAAATTAATAAGCATAATGCAAATAAACCTATTTGTTTGGCTCTCTGAAAAAAAAAAAAAGAATGTCTAACTCATACTTACCAGGGTACCATTGGCCATATTTGAATTTTCTTTCTTAATTTTTTTTTATATTTTATAGTTTGTATTATAAAACATTAAATGAAATTTGAGTAAGTAATTTCCCTGTGTTGTTTTCATAAAAAAAAAACAACCCTATATTTTGAAGTGGTTGAGATAATAGGATTCAAAGGTTTTCATATTGTTTTCCACTTGCCACTCTATTAATGAACTTTTCACATCTTCCTAATTATTGTTGTTGCACATAATATTTTAATGAGTTATGATATACCATAAAATACTGCCCAGCTGTCATAAACTCTCTGTCAAAAAGGCTTTTTTCTTCTATTTATTATTTCCTTAAAATGAATCCCCAGGAGTGGAGTGACTGGGTGAAGGCTAATGAACATTTTTATGGCTCTTGAATTTTATTGCTTTCCAAAGGGGATATATAAGTTTACAAGGACAAGGCAGTCCATTTTTCAGGGTCTATGTATGAAGCTACTTAAAATAAACAAAATTCTATGTGGAGTCAGAGATCCTAATAATGTGTAAATCATGATCATCAGCCAAAAAGTCTTTGGAGAACTAGCCAGCCCTGGAAGCCAAATGCTAAGTGGTCCAAGAACTCAAAATACTGATGGTAATCATAACAAAAAAAAAAAAAATAGGAGGGAATGATATTTTCCACATTTTCAGTTCATGCTCAATTTTGGCACAGTAAGGAAAACATTAATTGATAAATTAAGTCACTTTATTAAAGTATCTAGTTCTTTATAATAAACAACCTCAATCTTTTTCTTTTTATACTTTAAAAAAAATTTCTCTAGCTTTATCCTAATATATAAAAAGTCGGGGGCCATCACAACCGAAACCACCAGATGGACGACTGAACACAGGCTGTGTGAGGCAATTAAACTGGCAGGGGGTTAGTAAGGGATGACTAAACTACTGAACAGCAGGCTGCATGGGGTGACCAGGCCAGCAGGGGGCTTAGTGAGAGAGGACCAAATGACTAAACTGCAGGCTGTGTGGGGTAACCAGGCCAGCAAGGGGGGCAATTGGAGGCAATCAGGCTGGCAGGAGGGACAGTTGGAGGAACCAGGCCGGCAGGAGGGCAATTGGAAGTGACCAGGTCAGCAGGGGGAGGCAGTTGGGGGTGACCAGGCCAGTGGGGAGGTGGGGTTAGGAGCTATCAGGCAGGCAGGAAGGTGAGCAGTTAGGAGCCAGTGGTTCCAGATTGTGAGAGGGATGTCTGACTGCTGGGGATCAGGCCTAAACTGGCGGTCAGACATCCCCTGAGGTGTCCTGGATAGGAGAGGATGCAGGTTGGGCTGAAGGAACTCCATCCCACTCTGTGCACAATTTCATGCACCAGGCCTTTAGTTGAGGTTTGACAAACACAATTATAATGTATTTAAACTGATGATTTGGTATATGTATACATTTTAAAAGGATTCCCACATTGAGTTAATACATTCCATTCTGTGAACACTTAAGTTCTACTGTCTTAGCAAATTTCAGTTATACAGTCCAGTGTTATGAACTATAGTCACCATGATATACATTAGATCTTTAGACCTCATTAATCTAATAACTGAAAGTTTTACCATTTTCTTCACATTTCCTCTAGCCCAGCCCCTGAAAATCACCATTCTACTTTCTATAAGTTTACTTTTTAAAAATTCCACATATAATTGATACCATGCAGTATTTTTTCTCTGTCTGACTTATTTCCCTTAGCATAATACCCTCCAGGTTCATCCATATTGTTGTAAAAGGCAGGATTTCTCTTTTTTTTTTAAATGCTGAATAATATTACTACGAATATTTTCTTATCCATTTATCTGTTGATGGACACATAGGTTGTTTCCATATGTTGGCTATTGTGAATAATGCTGCTTTGAGCATAAGAGTGCAGATATGTTTTTGAGATAATGATTTTATTTCCTGTGGCTATACCTCTAGAGATAGGATTTCTGGGTCATATTTACTTCTGCTTCTGACACTCAAATTCAGATCAAACTGGCTTTATTAACAGCAGTAGCTGTAGATTATTGTACATTTATTTTATGTCAGGCACTGTGTGCTACATACTTAAAATACATTACTTCATTTCTTTTAAAAATAACCTCTCAGGTTCTATTGCTACCCACATTTTATAGACAAAGAAACCATACTACACCATGACCTTCCCTGAGGGCAGGAATTTTTATTGTGTTCAAGTGTTTAGAAGAGAACATAATAAATGCTCAGTAAATAGTGTTCACTGAATGAGGCTCCAAGAGCATAAGCAACTTCTTCAGGGTCATAAGTAACACAACTGGTATTCAAACCTAGACATACCAGGCCCAGTTCCTAACCCCTCTGCTATGCTGCTTCTTCTAGGGACAGGCAGAACACACCCAGTTGTGGCTACTTACCTGACTCCAGCTCCCAGCAAACCACTCCAACTTGCCCATGCAAGGCCCATTGTCACATGGAGTGGCCTCTGCTGGCTGGTTGTTCCCACAGCCCTCCAGAGGCAGGCTGCTGATGTGGTTGGTCATGCATACCACTGAGCGTGTCCGCACTCCAGCCCCGCACTCTGCTGAACACTGTAAGACAGAAGATGGACACAGTAGAGGTAAGGCCTCTCCACCCAGGTTCGGAGTCACATTCAAATGATTCCAGAACACCATGATTCCCCACCAATTCTTTGCCCTGGAAAATTCTGACCACTTCTCACGCATGGACTGCTCCATCATGGGACATCGGTATTGCATATCCCTGGCCTTAGATTTTTTAATTTTGATTGATATGCTTGCACTTGTCAGACTATCTGTTCTGGCTTTGGATTTCAAAAATATATTCAGCAGCAGAAGAAGAAGAATGTGAAAACATAAGCACATGCCTACAAACTGGTAGTGAGTCTGGACTGATCTGAGGAAGGAGGAGAATTGGTGTGTGTCACCTCAACAATGCTGCCTAATATTAAGGCACATGGTTCTAGTCCATAAAGGGCACAGCTGTGATGGTGTATCAGGATTCAGCCTGGTATAAAGGAAGAGCCTGCACTGGAACTGGTCATATTGGTGTTAATATCACTACCAGTTATGTGGCCTGGGGCAAGTGACCTGAGCCTCTCACTTCTGGCATGCTTACCTCAATCATTGGCATGGGAACACAGTCCTGGCAGTAGTACAGGGAGTGAATTACATGTAGAGAGGAGGTGCTCAATGAATGCATGCAGTAGGTACTCAATAATGGTATTGCGGGGCTTTAAAAGGCCAAGACCTACATCTCTACTCTACTAAGTGTATTGGTTAATAATACAAATTTTGTAATCAAAGAAAACACAATAATTTCAAGAGAAATCAAAAGTACTTTATTCAAAGTAATGTCCATCATTTGCTACACATTTTCCCCATCTTTGAGGTAATTTGTGGATATTGTCCCAATAGAACTTTTCTTGTTTTGAGGCAAACCATTCAGAGACCCAATTTCCCACTTCTTTGTATGTTTTGAAGTGCTGCTCAGAAAGTGCATGTGCCATTGATTGGAACAAGTGATAATCTGAAGGAGCAAGAATACAGCGGGTGGGTTAATACTTCCCAGGCAAGATCTTTTAACATGTCTTTAACGGGTTCTGAAGTTTGTGATGGTGCGTTATCATGCTGCATCTTCTGGCCCATTCTTGTCATTTCACGATCAAAGTGTGATTCAAATTGATTATTTGTTGTTAGTAGTGATCAGTATTAATGATTTCACCTGGTTTTAGAAGCTCACAATATACCACACCTTCCCGATCCCACCAAACGCAGAGCATTGTCTTCTTTCCAAAGCGATTTGGCCTTTCAGTCAATGTTAACGGTTGACCTGGATCAACCCTTGATTTTGTGCATTTGGGATTCTCAAAATAAATCCACTTTTCATTGCCAGTCACAATTCGATGCAAAAGAGACTTTCTTTTGTGCCTTTGAAGCAACATTTTACTGATGACTTTTCAGTTTTCTATTTGTCTCTTGTTCAGTTGATGTGGCACCCATTTCCCTTCCTTTAAAACCTTTCCCATTGCTTGTAAATGATTAGAAATTGTTAACAATGTTTAATCTTTCTGCAAGTTATTTTTTAGTTTGACATGCATCTTCATTCAATAATGCTTGTAATTGTTGGTCTTCAAACTTTTTCGGTTGACCTGTATGTACTTTGTGTTTCACTTGGAAATTATCACTTTTAAAGCATTTAAACCAGTGTTCACAAGTATCTTGAGATGGAGTATGTTCACCATAAGCTTCCTGAAGTATATGATCATTTTCAGCAGCACTTTTCTTCAATATAAATTAATGAATTATAATTTGCTGCAAATGCTCTTTTCTTGGCATAAAATTTGACATTTTTTAAGTGTAAAAATATCTATGATGTTAACACCTTCAGGAAATTTGGCATATGAAGTGTTGAAGCTTATTGTCAATACAACAAAATAGTATACATAGAAAATCACATATGCATCAACATATGTGTAACTCTATCTATTGAAAAAAATCTGCATTATTAATCTGGTAAGAGAAATCAAAGCTCACAGGATTAAGCCTTCACTTAAAACTACATAACGGTCATTACTACAGTCTCACTCTGTCTTCACCAAGGACACAGTAAACACTCTGAAGCTCTGAGAGCATTTCCCATCTGCCTTGTAATACTTAGGAATGTTGCCTTTTTTTTTTTTTTTTTTGCTTCTCATCCGATATTTTCAGGGCATCATGGTGTGGGTGTCCCATCAATACCTCATGTCCAATAGGTGAAATGACTGTATACCACCTTCATCATCATTCTTATTTCTCCTCTGGGTTTTCCAATGTGTGTTCAAATGCATATCTGGATTCACAACCCACTGCTCTTTGGCTTCCTGGTTTCCCACATCTCTTCAGCTAGCAGGTCTCATAGATTCTAGTTTAAGCACATTTATCTGTCTTGTTGCTGCTACAGTTATTCCCAGCACCCTGATGTTCTTCTCCTGGACTGTGGTCGCAGCTTCTCGCTCAGCTTTACCAGCTCTTCTTGTCATTGTCTTCCAAGTGCTGGTATATCCATGTTGAAATCCTGTTGCTGGTCCATTCCTAACGACATTCACTATGCACTGCCCCTAAATGGCATTAAATGTTTTCTAAAATATGGTTCCATTCTTCTAGACTACACTGGGAATACACTATTTTTCTTTAAAAATTTTAAAAATTGATTTCAGAGAGGAAGGGAGAAGGTGAGAAAGGCCAAAGAAACATCAATGTTTAGAGAGAATCATTGATCAGCTGCCTCCTGCATGCTCCACACTGGGGATGGAGCTCACAGCCCAGTCATGTGTCCTGATTGGGAATCAAACCGTGACCTCCTGGTTCATAGGTCAATGCTCAACTACTGAACCACATCAGCCAGGCCACACTGGTTTCCTTTATAGTAATTTCTACATTATCACAATATGAACTTCTAAAACAATCAGATGGGCCGAATAGTTAGATGTTATATATGAAAATCACTGACTACCCTGGACAGAACCAAGGTTCACTATTCCCTGGCCACACAAAATGCTCCTAGCAAATTGTTCCTTGTGCCTGGAGCACTCTTGCCCTTCCATGGGACACTCAAAATCTGCTCAGGTTCAGCTCAAGTGCCATCTCCTCTGTGAAAGTGTCCCTGATTTCCCAGTTCAATAGATCCTTCCCATTCTCAGAATTCCCATGATATCTTATGGGAACCATGCCAGAATCCGCAGAATGCTCAAGGCCAATTGGAGTATGAAAAGCCTTGTTTAGAGTATACCAGATGGCCAAGGCCACTCTGAGCATGGGAATCTTAATCAGGGTGTCCAAGGACTATGCCAATGCATAGCAAGGTCACTAAGTGGCAAGAAACTTCCTTTGTCTGAGTAGTATAATATATATTATTGGCCATCCAGTGTGGTAGGGAGAAGCTGAAGAGGTTACTTAGGAGAGCTCAGCGCTCAGGTCCTGCTGCTATGCTAGAGAGGCTACTGGGACAGAGAGAGCTCAGTGCTGCTGCTAGGTAAGTCTGTGGGTACAAAGGCTACTACCGCTTTGTAGGAAAGATGTATTGTTATATGGCTGCCTGTATGTGACTATTGTGAACAACTGTTTTGTGTGATGGCTCCTTATTAGCAATGGCCACTGGCTCCTAACTAAAGACTCATTCTTATACACCCATAACTCCTCATTACCTTTCCTTCTACCACATGGAGTCCAAGAAGGTCCAGCCTGGGCAGAGGAGCTTGGCCTCTACAGTTAATAAAGTAGGGTAGGTTTCAGAAGAATATGTGGACTCAGTGCAGCTGTGCTCTGACACATCTGTATTCTGCTGTCATCCTTTGTATTATGGTTATTTGTGTCCATTTATTTTTTTCTCATTATGTAAGTAGGCTCAGTGCCTACATTATCTTTACTTCATTTTCAGTGAGCACTTCACCTATGGGAAAATCCCTGAATATCAGAAATAAATATGATGGGGGTCCTCTCCCGCTCAATTTTATTCTCTCATCAGCACCTTCCAATTCTGAAAGTGTCTATATGTGAAAACCAAAGCCCTTCTAGGGGTTTCTGGTGGTTCTTTTCTTAAAAACAGAATCAGTGTTTGATTTCTACCAACATCATTTTAAAAGTAAATAAAAGCAATATAATTTTAAATAAAATTTAAGAAAAGGGAAAAAAATATTAATAACCTCATTTCCTTATAAAAAATCCTACTTTTGTTTTTGTAACTTGCTATTTAATCTTGTAAAATCATAATCCAGGGTGAGTATCAAACATTTACATGACCACTGCTAAATGGAGTCTGACTCCTCAGGGAGGGAACTCTGGAGCTAAGAGCTCATAGGTGGTTAGAACGTGCCCCAAAATATGCTACTTTGGCCTATTGATTATTTTGAACTCATGGCAATTAAAAAATAGCAGATGCAGCCGAAATCGGTTTGGCTCAGTGGTAGAGCGTCGGTCTGCGGATTGAAAAGTCCCAGGTTCGATTCTGATCAAGGGCATGTACACTGGTTGCGGGCACATCCCCGGAAAGGGGTGTGCAAGAGGCAGCTGGTCGATGTTTCTCTCTCGATGTTTCTAGCTCTCTATCCCTCTCTCCTCCTCCCTGTAAAAAACAATAAAAATATATTTAAAAAAAAGAAATAGCAGATGCAGGAAAAGCTCTCTGCCCTCCCCTTTTCAGCCTAGAAGCAGGGCATACATTCTCCTGAGAATGCCCTACCAGTTTCAGGAATAAGAGAACATTCTTATGGATGATGGGGAATCAAGACAAGTCTGCATAAACAAATTTTACTATAATCCTTATCTTCCATTAGTTTCCCCCATATATTTTTCAGCCATTTTCCTACAATTTACTATTCCCAGAAGCCCAAACCCCTTTTCTTTGTCTAGTCACTTCACAATTTATTACCCTTTGTTAAAATGTTACATAATCCCTCAAATCTAACTGCTTTTCTGGGATTTTCATTTATTTCATATGAAGTTCCCTTCTCTCTATCCTCATGCTATATAAAACACAATAATATCAGATAAAATTTATATGCTTTTCTCATATTAATCTGGCTACTGTTAGTTTAATTTGCAACCCTCCATTAAAGAACCTAAGAGAGTAAAGGAAAAGTTTTATCTCCCTTACAGGTTCACAAATGCTTTTCACAACTTTTGTTTTAACTGCATTGTTATTAGAAATCTGCTTTCCAATCCAAGTAATCTTGGGAAAACCACATGCATCTTAGAAAAGTTTCCCCATATCTCTGAGCACTTAATTTAAAAGAGTAATGCTAAGGGCTAAGTCAATGCTCAGTGAGAGGGCATCACAAGGATCAGCCCTGCCGAGGCTGCAGTGAAAAGCACAACCAATTTATATTTAAAAGGAGCTATCCACGCAGGACCTGACCAGGGAAGCCTCTCAGTAGAAATGAGGGAATGGAGGGGTCTTTACTAGCCAGCAGAGACTAATCTTCAAAGTGAAGCACCAAACACCCCCATTTACTGAAGGACCAAATCCACTTCAGAAAAGAAGGACCAAATCAATTTCAGAAAAGAACCTGATTCCTAAGTGAACTTGTGCACAGCTAAAACACAGACACACAGGAATTCCTAAGCAACCCTCTGGTAAGGATTATCTTCTCACCCTAGCAACAGCAAAATGCTAAAGTTGGCCCAAGTGGTCCTGATACACTGTAAGGTTCTAATGACTATATCTGGACTTCAGTTTTATGCATAATCTTTCACAATTTAACTCAATATCTTTACTTATTTCTTCTCTTGGAAAACATACTTAGTAATTAGGTGATAATTTAGGTGAAAATTGAGGCTGGTGGACTTTCTAAAAGACTTTTTTCTCTGTTGTGATTAAAAACTGTACAAATGTTTAAACTTGTTGATTTGCAGAACTAAAAAGCAAATGATGCCTGCATCTAATAAGCTCCAATCTCAATTAAAAGTAGTTGAATAACTTATATACTAGTACATATATGCATAGCCCATGGACACAGGCAACAGTGTGGTGAAGGCCTGGGTGAGGGCTGATGTCAGGTGAAGGGGGTTAATAGGGAGAAAGGGGAACATCTGTAATACTTTCAACAATAAAGATAAAAATTTTAAAAGTAGCTGCAAGGATGCTTTTAAGATGAGTCATCAAGTCAGAAAAACTATACATATTACCTTAAACATTTAAGAGAAGGTTCAGATTGAGTTTACAATCTCAATGTATTTAGGCAGAGACCAATTAATTTTAAATTGGACAACAGGATGCTCTTGGTATTCTGGTGCCAATTTCAATCTGTGTGTGTGTGTGGGGGGGTCCCACACCATCAAGCCATTTTTCGACACCAGCTGGGTGTCCTGCCATTCAACTTCATTCTGACACTACCTGGAAATGGCATTAGATGCCACAGGCAATTACCCCACCCCCAACTTCAGCAGCCAATCCCAAGTCCAGTTTTTTACCTGTACTTCTGACCATCTGGCTAAAAGTCTGAGGTTTCTAAAACTCTTCTTCTCAGTTTGTTTGCTTTGCTACAGCAGCTCACAGAACTCAGAGAAACATTTTACCAGTTTATTATACAAAGATATAACTCAGGACCAGCCAAATGGAAGAGAAGCACAAGGAAAGGTATGTGGGAAGGGGTGCCGAGTTTCCATGCCCTCTCTAAGTTCATCACTCTCCCCCCATCTCCACGAGTTCACTAACCCCAGACTTTCAGAACCCCATCAGTTTGGGTTTTGATGGAAGCTTCATGATGATATGAAGAAGAAAGCGCCCACAGGAAACCCTCCTAGCATGCCAGTCTTATCTAGGTCCTAGTTTGAAAGGTGATTCCCTTCATACTCATTCAGCAATGTTACAGAGTAGGAAACTGAGAGGCAGGGAGTCAGCAGCTTGCTCAAGGTCTCATCTATGTTACAGAGTAGGAAACTGAGAGGCAGGGAGTCAGCAGCTTGCTCAAGGTCTCATCTATAATAATCTATAATAATAAAAGTGTAATATGTTAATTAGACCAGACGTCCTTCTGGACAAAGCCAGGGCTGGGAGGGAAGCCCGAGTACGAGGTGCCAGAGGGAAGCTGGTGCCAGCAGCCAGGGGAAGGAAGGCCATACTCTTGCATGAATTTCGTGCAACAGGCCTCTTAGTAAGAAATAATTCCTGGGGAAAGGGTGCCAATAGCAATTCTCTCTCCCTTAAACACAATAGTAAATTTTCCCATTCATGTACTCAAAATAATCAGGAGCAATGATCTATTTTGGGTTCAATAAGCAAACTTACTTATATCATACACAGGATACTTACATAGCTTAACACAACTTTTCCAAAAAAGCAAAAATGTTCTCTAAATGGAAGAATATTAGTGAAGTACTCATTCTTTGCTCTATTTGGAATTCTAAGACAATTGTTAGATCCAACAAGTACTTATGTTAAAATACAAAGCAGAGAGTCTTTATTGGAGGGAAAATAACTAGTATGGAATTCCTTGTAAATTTACTTATAGAGTTTTACTGTCCTAAGGAATATGGGAGACACACAGAGGAATGAAGCATTGTAGTTTTCCTCCACGTAGTTGCTTTTTTCTTTGAACACAGGTTATTCTGAGCCCAATGCTTTTCTCAGAGCCTGGCAAATGTAGAGAGAAAGAATTAGAAACAGTATAGAACCAGTGAAATAAAATAATTATAAAAGTGATCTCAGTTGCTGCTTTGGAGATTCTAAATTGAAATAATTCTCTGGAGAGAAATTTGCCAAAATATATCAAGAGTTCTAAGTAAAATAAATAAATAAATAAATAAATAAATAAATAAATAAATAAATAAATAAATAAAGGAGTTCACAGCATTTGAATAATTCTACTTCCTAAACATTATTTTAGGAAAACAAAGAAAAGTGCATATAAAGATTTATACATAAGAATATTTACTGAGCTCAGTGGTTGAGTATTGACCTATGAACCAGAAGGTCATGGTTCCATTCCCGGTCAGGGCACAAGTCGGGTTGCGTGCTCTATTTTTTGTGTGGGATGTGCAGGAGTAGCCAATCAATGATTCTCTCCAATCATTGATGTTTCTGTCTCTCTCTCTCTCACTCTCCCTTCCTATCTGAAATAATAAAAAAAGAATATTTACTGAAATATTATTAAAAATAGTAAGAAAATGCCCTCAATAATTTAGAAATAGGGCATTATTAGTTCAATTGTAATAATCATACAATAGCTTATTCTAATAAAAAAAAAACATGCTTTCAAGGTTTTTAATCCCATAAGATGTTTACAATAGGAAAGTAAAAAATATCAGGTTAACAAATTATACATATATTATTATTATATCCTTAAAACATATATATGAATACAAAATACTATGTATGAAAAGTATGTATGAGTAGAAAAAAGCTTGTCAGTGTAGCTTAAAATCTTAAATTATTAGACTGAAGAGTTTATAGGTATACTTTGAAATTCTTTTCATATCTTTTATAATAGTTTATATTACTGTCTGAGCATAAAAATGAACTATTTTGGAAAACATCTTTCCAATATAAAAAGAAGGCCCAGTATTATTGTTTTCATTAATTTGCTTATACACTAAATTAGGCAGGTTTATTGTTAGTACAAACAAATTCTGGCTAGAAATCTGGAAAGACAAAATCAGTTGAAGGAAGTAGGAATTTTTAGCCTGGAGAAAAAGTGGAAGGGGCTCCCCAGTATCTGTGGATCTGCAGTATAAGGACAGTGTATGCACTTCTGACAGGACATGCTGGGAGCTGGCAAGAAAAACCTGGGTTCAATGTGGAAGGAAAGCTAACACTGGGCTGTGCAAGAAGCAGACGTCATTGGCTTAACACACGGGGAATTTCTGACAAAGGGATCAGATTTACTCTAGGAACGCTATCAAGGACTCCTTATTCTGCAAGGGAGGTGCTCAAAGTGACCCCTGATACCTCCCAGCACTGCTTCTGCAAGGCCAGGAACCATGTGCTTGCTAAGAGGGGAAGAGGGAGACGCAAACAGAACTGGGCGAGCTCTGCTGGACTCAGCCGTAGGGGCAGAGGTCTGAGTCAATGGACGCCTTTGGCTAGCACTTTCCTGATGGCTAATTTGGTGCCTACTAGAGTCCAGGGCTGGGCCTGGAGGCAAGGTGAGTTGCTCATCTAAGGGCTCAGTGCTTTCTCGAAAGGCACTCTCTCTCTGGGGACTGTCTTGGGACTAAGGGGCAGGGGCTGTTTGCCACAAAGTGACAGGAAACCATGAGGAGATAAACCCACCTGATGGGAATCTCTGAAAGGATCTCTGAATGTGGGGTGAAGGCTGCATTTACATGTTTGTTCTTCCTTTCCTTCTCAACAGTACTCCTACTGGGGTGGATTATTTCATTGTGCTGAGAGGGAGGTTGTGAAGGAAACCCATGTGAACACTTGCAGGTTCAGAATACTCAGCAACTGGTCCTTGGTGGGCACTGACCAGTCAGAGTGGATGCTGGCCAGATGGAATCAACCAACAGGGTGGATGGGCCCCAATCCTCTGACGTGCCCCTTCCTCCACCCAGCTGGAGATACTGTACTGTCTGTTGTTCACATGACACGGGAGAAGGATTGGGAGCTGAGGAGTATCTCCTAAGACCTACAGCCTTGGTGCCATTGGGAGCTCCTTAGACATGCAGGATCCAGGCCAGCCCACCTCCTCTGTCCAGATTCTGTTTTGTGTAACAAGGTGCCCGGGTCATCCAGAGGCACAAGATAACTTGGAAGCACTGTGGAGATTCATAGAAGGATAGAAAGCGGGCAGTCGTTCATTTATGGGCCTTTCCCCCAGAGTCAGAAATTACCCTTGGGATGCTTGGCTAGTAATTCCTCTTTGTATGGTTTTGTGGTACCTTGTGACACCCGCTCCCACCCTTAGCCCAGCCTCCCTCCCCCCCTTCCCACACCCTTCTTCCCGCCTTCCTTTCTCCGCTCCAGAAAACCCACTGGGCTGCGGCCACACTCACCCTCTCACCCCACTCAGTGAGGAACCAGCTCCTTGCACAGGGCCCCATATCACAGTTCTCAATGTCATTCGGTCGGAGCTTCATGTTGCATTCCTCGTCGTCAACCAAGTCCCCAATGTTGCTCACACACTTTACATCTCGGGTCCTCTGCCCCACTCCACAGGGCACCGAGCACTGCAACACAGCAAGCAAGTCAGTGGGTGGGCAACATCAGGTCTGGGCGCCCTTCTTCTTGTTACCTACTCTTTAAACAGAGGGCTGGGGAGATACCCTGTGCTGCTAGGTCCCCTGCCTGCAATGCTACCTCAGGAGAATCCCAGCCCTGATCATTTCACAAACCCTTTCGCCAAGACCTTCTTTGATATCTTGCCTATTCTGTCCATCTGAGCCTCCGTTTTGTCATCTAGAAAATGGAAGAGAAGATGGGGGAGGAGACATCTCTAGCAGAATTTGCCAGCCTTCCCTCCACTGTGACACACAGAGATGAGAGCTTTTGCACAAGGCTCCTCTGGGCTCTCCAGCGCTCCACACGGCTTTAACTCTCAAGCTATGGACACAAGATATGGTTTATAAAAGTGGCCACCCGGATCCCCCAGGCAGGTTTTCTCCCGGAGAACTCAGGGTCCTTCCAAGTCAGGTCTCAGAGGGGGAGGCAGGAGGGAAGTGTGGGCCTTGGAGGGGATGCTCCAGAGCAGAGCCCCTGACTCCACGTACCGAGGTCCAGTCCGTCCGGATCTGCCACTCACTGCAGATCTTGAGCTGGCAGGTGCTGGTGGTCTCGGGCTTCTCCAGGTGCTGGCAGCGGTAGGGCTGCACTGTCAGGCTTCGGTTGGCGTACACCTGGCGGCACAGAACCTGACGATGCTGCATGCCGAGGCCGCAGGTTTTGCTGCACTCTGACCACTCCCCGATGTCCCAACTGGCTCAAGAAGAGAGGTACAGGGACAGATCACTTCAGTCAGCAGGAAGAGGGCAGGAGCTCAGCTGACTCACACAGAACCATCAGAATCCTCGGGATGACCCGACACCCGGGCATTGCTTACCAATCTACCTAAGGGCCACCTGACTCTGTAAAGAAATTAACATGCTGTTTGCCAGTGAGTATATGCAACTTAAGAAAAATGAGAAGGTACAAATTTATCTAGTAAAAACCCAACCAAAAACAAACTCCAAAGTTTAGTTTCACTAACCTATAGGCCATTAACTCATTTTGGAACTAACTTAAAAATCTTAGCCCAGCATTCTTTATTTTTCATGAGCTAATTACACATCAGTCTCATATTTCCTCTTGTGCCACCCTGCTCATCAGGTGTTCGGATGAAAACATGTTTTTATTACTTTGAGAATTAAGTTTTGACACCTTTTGGGCCCTGTCCCTACGATCTTCTGAAAGTGTCCTATTTGTCATACAAGAGCCAGTCCAAGGCCTCTCTTAGGGGCTCTTTCTGGTTTCTCCAGGCAGATGTAGTGTGCCTTTCATCATTCCCTCTGTACACAGCTCTCCTATGGCACTGACTACGCTGGACTGTAGTTCTCTGATTCCCTCTGTATTTTTCCTTGCCAGGTGAAACCCTAATTGCTCTAAATCCCCAAATGGTGGGCTCCTGGGAGTGTACTGACCTGCTAAAGGCTACAGGTTCCGGTGATGATCCTGAAAGATAGGTGATCTTGCTAAACAGACTGCATCTTATGCAAAGATCAAGTCTCATGTTTCTAAGTCAGATGTAGACTGATTTAAAAATGAGATTATATCTGCTACCAAGGTCCTATGCACAAGCAACTAGAAGTGATGTGATAATAGAGGTGGAAGCAGAGAGAACATCTTACAAGGCTGGGCAAGGGAAGATGCTGCAAGGCTCTTCCTCAGGGGTCGGCTTCATGCTGGAGTCACAGTAGCTCTCGGGAACCTCTTCATGAGTGTTTCTGTGCACACAGCGAAAAATGGGGTACTGTGATCCTAGAAGGACAAGGAGAACATCTGAAGGGCAGTCCCGCACACCTGAATGTTGGTTTCTGGGGGAGATGCACAGAGACCCAAGTGCTGATGAAGAGGCCACAGAAACAGAACAACCCATGTGCACACTGTCACGCAAGGGCTTTGCTCAGTATTGTGGGTGCAAAGGAGAGTAGGTATAGTTTTGCCCTCAGAGAGCTTATAGTCTATTGGTGAAAATAGTTTGAAATGCTCAAAGGCAGATTAAAAACAATTTCCATAATGGTTTTTTATATCACTATGTTGGGGAGAGATTATAAAATAAGCACAAATAATAACTCTTGAACATCTTCTGGAGACATCAAATAGAAATGGGCTGGAAGAGCTTCAGCTGCATCACAGAGAAAGGGTTCCGTGGGGAACCTGTTTGCACCTGGGCCTTGAAGGGAGAGGGCTGTCCAAGTCGCTGAACTAGAACAAAAGTGCCCAACAAACTTGCCTGCAAGCCCCAGATATATTTAAGAGATAGTTAGGATGGAGAGAGAAATAAGAAGATTCAAGAAAGACTAGAAGCATAGCTGGCTTCCCCTATGTAAATCATTTGACACTTTCTTCTAATGTCCTGATCCGGTGGTATTTTAGTTATTTAAGAGTATATGTCTGCTTTCATGAGACAGTGAACTTCTGAGGCACAGCACTAGTTCTGGGCATCTCTGTATCCCCAGTACCCAGCAGAGTAGTAGGTGTTTAGTTAAAGTTTGTTGAATGAATATTTGTTAGCAGTCTAATATTATTTTTACTTCTTTCTTAAAAAATTATACTAACTGCCTCAGATTTTTGTATTAAAAAACCTCCACACACAGCCTAGTTTCATTGTCTTAAAATTTATGCATCTATTTTGGGGGAAAATAATTTGTTAAGTGGAATTTCTAGTTCTCAAAACAACTAAAAAAAACCTGCCAATTCATAATTCTGCTTTCCTTCCTTTGCTATCCCCAGGTGGCAGCACTGAAGTATCACAAAGGAACGTTTACAAAGTGAAAACTATGACCAGCTGCGACTGTATCCCAACTGCTGGAAGAGTAAGATGAGTCATCAGAAAAAGCTGCCCATCCCCCAGGCTAGACCACCACTCAGTTCCTTCCCTGCAGAGCACTATCATTATTCTACAGTTCTGTCTCAGCACTGCTGCTGACTGGCCAGGCATTTACAGTTTATGAACTTCCAGCTTGCTACAATTTTAATTATAGTTAGAGAAATAATTTTTAATATGTGTCTCAATATTTCATCAGCCATGAGCAGTGGTTCAGTGCCTCTTTAAGCTGGTCTTATGTGACACTGAGCCAGGGGATAGTTTTGTAAGAAACTGGACAGTTTGTAAGACAGTTTTGAATCTGAAACACACACTTGCTTAAAGTACTCTGGCAGTAAAAATTTACAATGTAGCTATAACTTGAGACCATTACTTAAAATAACATTCTAATTAAGCATAGTTATTACCTGAGTAAAAAGCAGTACTGGTTGTAAAATTAATAGGAAGCAAAAACTTTTGTGGAATTAAGTTTGGTCCAGCGATATATCTGCTTCCATTTAAGAAGGATCTTCAATTAAAGTCAATAAACATTAAGTACGTTGTTCTCAGTTAAAAGGTGAGTGGATTCAGTGCATGGCTTTAAGGGTATCCATTTGGAACTCAGCTATTAAGGGATCATGTAAAAGTCTATTTTTTAGCTTATCCCTTTCCCTTCAGGCCACATGGGTTTAACTTTTCTACTTAAAAAGTTTGTAGGTTGGAAATAGTAATTATCCCAATCACTTGGCATTCAAGTGAGAGGGACATTTTGTATATCTAGAGAAAAGGATATGGACTACCATAGGGATGCTCTTTGTCTTGCAAAGATGGGTCCTGCTTGGGCTGTTTGCAAATGGCCTCTGCCTGCCCTCCCTGATCCTCTCACTACCTTTACCACTTGTCCATGGTCCAGCTCCAACACTTAACTGTGGAAGCTAAGTCAGAGGCTCTCCCTCTTTCTCTGTTGTTGAGAAAATATCAGATCTATAATTCTTTTAAAAAATATATTTTATTGATTTCTTATAGCGAGGAAGAGAGAGGGATAGAGAGTTAGAAACATCGATGAGAGAGAATCATCGATCAGCTGCCTCTTGCACACCCCCCACTGGGGATGTGCCTGCAACCAAGGTACATGCCTTTGACCGTAATCGAACCTGGGACATTTCAGTCTGCAGGCTGACACTCTATCCACTGAGCCAAATCGGTTTCGTCCAGATCTATAATTTTTGATTCCAGTGACCACGAAGGTTTCCTTCTTTGGGTCAACTTTGATCTCTGCAGAAAGGGAAAAACCTGGCCATCTTTTCACTGTTCCAGCATGCCATTCAAGCGGGAATAGGGTGGTGAGGTCAGGTGCTGGCTGGGCTTCAGGCAGCAGGAAGAAACTGGGATCAGTTTGGTTGGGTTATATGTTAGATGTACTGATCAAAACAGAAGTCCATTAAGTTGGACAGGGCAATGTACCATAGGCAGAGGTCAGGAAGGCATATGGAAAGATGGACAAAATAAGGGCAACAAGAAAATAAATAACTCCAGTGTGGAACTCCAGGTACCAAACAATCAGGCCAAGAGTTGACCAGATAGAGGTCTTAGCAATGACTGGATGGAGTACAGGCCACACCTGAATGCCCATGACAGGGCCTCTTCTGCGATGATGATGTCATTCCTCTGACATTTACAGAAAGGGAAATTTTAATGTGACAGGCCTAGAAATGTGTGAAGCACTGGAGAAGAGTTTGGGAGAGGGTCAGTGTGGGGACAAATTATGAGGTCACAAGAGGAATGGGAGGGTAAAAATGGTGGCAGAATAAACAGACATGTACCGATCCTAGTCCCCGATCAGATAGAAGGAGCGCCTGAGAGTCGCTCAGGGAATGTTTGTTGGCTAGCTTAGGGATAGCAGAACTCTAAGAGAAGGTGAGGGACTGCTGGACAGGGTTCCCTGACCAAGCAGCCCGCACTGTGACTGAGACTTCTCCCGGAGCGATGGGCTCAGAGGGAAAACTACTCCATCTTGCAAGGAAAAGTGGATCTTATCTGACGCTTGAAAAACTCACAACTGTGGAGACCACCGAACAGTTGTGAGGCCCCAATCAGCACAAACACATGGATTCAAGGGAGCTCTTCACTCTACCATGGAAAATTCAGATTTTTCCAGGGATAACGTGAGGTATCTGGGTCCTGGCAGAGGCGGAGGCAGCAGCGGCTGCAGAGAGAAAAGCTTGCGTTGCAAGACCCTGAGGACTGGGGAAGTCTGTGCCCACAAAAGTCCCCAGCTGTTGGGTCTGGAGTGATCTGTGAATGTGGAAGGGTCCTCAAGGTTGCTAACAGAAGGGATCTCTAAAAAGCAACCAATTCTGATCTGACATGGAGGGAGAGCATAAGAATTTGAAAGGTGTGCAGTCTGCTTGAACTTGTGCACAGACCCATCTTTCGCACACTTGGGCTTTCCCCCCCATAATCCTCTTGCTTCTGATTATCAAGCAAAGACCACCCAGTTTGGCATGCCCTGGGAGAATGCAGGGGGAAAGTGCTTTACTGGAAACTAGGGATCAAAGCAGGGAGAGACCATCTAGGAGCCAGCTCAGCGGCAGCCATCTCCGCAAACCAATATTGAGTGCCATAGAAAAAGAAAGCTAGAGCAGCCAAAAAGACGGAGAAGTTAATCCAGAAACACTGCCACCTAGGGACTGAATTGCAAACTGACTTTTATTTTATTATTAATTTTACTTAATCAAAAATAAAAAAATCAAGAAACCGCCTACTTAAAAATAAGGACTAGCTTACAACACTGAGGTGCAGTGGAACGCAGGGAACTGCAATACTCTCTGGACTGAGAAACAGGCGTGCCAAACAGAATAACAGAGGAGGAGAATGACTTCACTACTGCACATTTTTATGCTAATTTTTTATTTTATTTTATTAATAAACAATTTTTTTTCCTTTTTCCTCACTGATTTTACCCTTTTAATTATTAGATTTTTAGTTTCAATCAGCATTATTACTACTGCTACCGTGTTTCTCCGAAAATAAGACATCCTCCGAAAATAAGACTTACTTACAGGTTTCCTTATGAGTGAAATATAAGGAATCCCCCTAAAAATAAGCCTACCCCCCTAGGCTAAACATGAGATATTTGGTCCACTGATTCTGAAAGAAATGGAGTCACAAGAAATTCACCAGGAAATTCAGGAACTAGATTGTTATGATGATGTTCCAGAAGATGATGACATGATTGTCATTGAATAAATGAGTAAATTCTTGATACTGTAGGATTCACAGTTTGTCTAGGTTGTGATGACAATTACTGTACTACCGTACTGTATACAGGTAATAAATTTCCTTTATTTGCATTTAACAATAAATGTGTATTGTATTCCTCTTCGTGAAAAAATAAAACATCCCCTGAAAATAAGACCTAGAGCATCTTTGGGAGCAAAAATTAATATAAGACACTGTCTTATTTTTGGGGAAATGGGGTATTTTACTTTTTTTGTTTCCTTTTTCTTTTTTTAAGTGCATTTGATTTTCTCTTTATTTTACATTGAGATTAGTGTTCTTCGTTCTATTTTCATCTTTCTTTTAGCATTGTTTAACCCTATCTCAACATGACCTTTACACTATCACTCTCTTCCAAACCTTTTCTCTTTTGGTGTTCTATTTATCTTAACCCTTTTCTGCTTTAGATTTTCCCTATTCTTTCTATCTACCACCTGATAAAATTTTCACCCTACTTATATATCTAATTTCCAATCCCCTGCTCCAAGTGCATACATACCACTCTCTTCGCTATCTTAACTATAAAAAAAAATTGTTTTTCTCATGGTCCTTTTGTTGTTGTTTGCACAAATGTTGGTTATATTGAATTTCTATGCTTTTTAGTGAGATTGTTTTGCTTATTCTCTTATTGTTGTTGCTTGGTATCTTTTATTTGCTTGTTTTTTTTTTTTTG